GGTGGGACACACATCCATGCACACTCAGCAAGAGCCCTTTGACTTCACATGCAAACAATGCTGAATTTGTATATCAAGAAATCAAGCCAACCCAAATATCTATGTCATGTACACTCCCAAACCTCACTTGCTTTCACTGGTAATTTAACCAGCGGTAATCCTCACTAGATATTGATAAATAGACAGACTAGAACATAGCGCTAAACTGACCAGAAAACAGAACAACTTAAGAACTCTCCACTCTTGAGGATCCAGGCAAGACTTGGTGTGTGTTCTTGATCAGAGACCATAGAAAATATACATACAACAGAACCTGTGCCAATATTTTTTTTTTTTGAGGAACGCTTGTGTGGTATGTGATGAATGGGTGTCTACATAAACAGTGTTGCAATGAAAAAAAGGACATGGAGAATGTCAACCAGAGGACCGGAAAAAAACAATCATCGTGTTGTGGCTTGAGGGTTCTTCATTTTTATGTGTGTTCAAGTTGCGATATATGTACATAGTGAGCGGGCATGATCATCAACATACCGGAACGAAAATAAGACAGGCTCACGGCCCGTTCATTCTTCTTCCAGTCAAAGGTAATAATAGCTTATGTATATATATACGTATTCAAGTTTGTATTAGGACGGTTCACATTTCAAATTTTTTAGCAAATTTTTTATTTGAAGTTAGCAGAGGGAATTGAGATCTCACGCTTAAAATTAGCCTGCTGCCAGTGCAAGTTTGGACAGAGTTTCGAAATCAGCAAGCAGAAAGTTTATTACAAGTTAGCAGTGGAAAGTGTGAAATGTGAACCGGGCTATTGAGTGATATATTAAGTGTAAATGAAGCAAGTATAAAAACCAATTGAGCAGAAAAAGAATAGTCAACAAAAAAGAAACAAGAACAAGAACAAAAGAAAAATGAAAAATGAAAAACCAATGTGAAGACAAGCGATGTGTGAATGACCCAACTACTCTTCCCTTCTCCCTCCCCAATCGATAGATATATATGTATGTGTGTGTATAGATAACAAAGAAAAGAAAAGAAAACAATTGTACTGCTGAGTATGTAAGAAAAAGAAGAAGAAAATAACAAGAAAGACAAAAGAAGAAGAAGAGAAATGAAGGAACAACCAAGCAAGCAAGACAAGACAAGACAAGAGTGGGTGTGTGTGAGATATGAGTAGAGATGCTAGAACTACAAGCAAGCAAGCAAGCAAAAAGGAGGCGTTGCCAAGATGGATTCGGAGGCGAAGAAAAGAGAGGGGGCGGGCGATTATAAATAGAAAAGAAAAGATCGATGGGTGGTGGAGACACATTAAAGCGTAAGACCCTCTCTCAGACGAAGAGAGAGAGACCAACAATAAGAAAAAACAGGAAGAAAGAACAATCATACTTGAAGGAGGAAGAGTTTCGGACGACAGGTTGTGAGGAAAGGAGGATATACGAGGACATGTAGCGGATGATACAGCTAAGGGCGACACGCGAGGTAGAGCTTATACCTTTCGGAAATACCACATAACAAAATATAAAAGATGGTTCAAGATCAAAGAGCGGGAGAACGACCGAGAGCTGGGACGACGACGAAAAAGGATCGATGGACTTCACAAAAAATGGACGGGCATATCTGATTTTTAATCGATACCATGATATAATTAATAGTAAAAAAGTCGAAGCGAAGAAATCGAGATAGTTTGAATTTTTTTTATTGTGTGTGTTTCAAGAAGGGATCCACGATCGGAACAATTCTATGGACTTTTTTCCTCTGCCAACAAGAAGAAAAAAAATGGAAGCATTTGGTGTTTTTTTTTTTGCGGGGGATGAAAGGAATCAAGGGTTGGCGGTAGTAGTGCGAGCGCGACGGGTGTTAGTCCTACGGTTGTTAGCACTGTTATTGACGACGGCGCCGGATTCTTTGTCTTTAGGGAGTCCGAGCAAGACGCCGCCGCCCATGACGCCGACCTTCCCGCCGGAGTGTTCGGTGACCGTTCCAGGACCTTCCTTGAGGACGAGCAAGCCGCGACCGCCGCTGACGCTGGAGACCGAGGCACTTGGGACGTGACGGCGGCGTTGGCTGGCGTATGCCGGCGAAGCCGCCCGACGAGGCGGTTGGTGTTGGATGGCCGACATTGCGGTCAAGCTGGCCGGCATGTGGTTGGTGGAGACGTAAGGCATCGAGTTGCTAGAGTTGTGTCAAATGATATCAATTGGTTGTACTGTGCTGCTGACGAGCTTTGCGGAAGCTGGTTGGTGCTCATCTTCTTCTTGACCATCATTCCTAATGGGGCCAACGGCCGGTGTCCCTGGGAGGAAGCTTGAAAGAATGATATGCCGGATTGGATCGAAGCCCTTCGGGAGGACTGGAGAAGTCACAAGAGGTGTCGCGTGAAGGGGCGGATGTATGATCCTCCGGTCACCCGGTACATAGGAGGACAACTTGAGCTGGGCCTGGAAATTTTCAACTAGCATCTCCTGATGACGGGCTTGAATCGTCTTCTTGTCGGATCCTTCGGAGCGTGACCTAGACTTGGATTGCCCAAAGGGCGTAGGAGGAGTGACTGCCAGACGGGTTACTCCTGCAGGAGCAAGGATCGGTATGGCTCGGGATTTACTTGGGGAATCGCCAGGAGACAGACGAGGTGCTGAGGGAATCGTGGGCGGAGAAGGGACGCCGAGTCGAGGTTGGGAGAGATGAGTGGGGAGGTTGCCCCATAGTTCCTTGAGTTCACCACCGCTCGCTTGAATCCGGAGACTAACGCATCCGGGGTCGGTCCATAGAGTCCAACCGGAGGCCTGAGCTACGCCAAAGTTCTTGAGAATGTTCCGCCTGAGTTCCCGGTTGGAGGTCCCGAGGAGGTGAGCTAACATGCACAGAACTGGGTCCAAATATCCGTCTTGACGAGAAGGATCAAATGAAACCGCACGATATCCCGATCCTCGTTCGGGCTCTAGTGGGAACCAATGACGAGGGACGAATCGTGCGTGAAGCTTCTCAGTAAAGACCGGACAAACGATGGATTGTTGATCGGGTGTGAGCAAGAAGTGAGTGAGGTAGTTGGCGACAAATTGGATCTCTACTGGTGCCATGGTAAGTTGATGGTGCTGTGAGGAAAATCCAAAAAAAGAAGAAGAAAGACGCGACATTCAGTGATGGGTGTATTGGTGATGATGATAGAAGGACTGAAGAAATCAATTACCTGAAGGGTTTATGAGACTGATTCGTTGCAATTCGAAAAAATTGAGGTTTCTCTGACAAGATTCGAGGTAGTCAAGATGAGGTTGGAAAGTCAAGTCGAAGAAGAATGTTGGAGCCAGAGAGCGAGGAAGGAAGGAGTACACTATCGAGAGAAGCACTAGGGTAGCAGGGGAGTGGGATGTGAGCTACAAATCGAGGAAGATGAGGAAGACTGGAATATATATGACAACAAATAAGGAGTAGGCGAGTAGCTGAGCAGTGGATGTGTGGCAAGGGGGGTAGAGTAACCAAGAAGAATGAAGGAGATGGACCAAGGTATGTATCGTCGAGAAGACTTGATAATGAAAGTTTCTTTCTTTTAACCCAAGACCGAAAAAAACAAAGATATAGTGAGGGAGAGAGTTGGAGGAGGAAATCGAATAAGGGAGGGGATTACTGTTGACTGAAATCAACCCAACAGATACAATGAAAGTTCAAAAAGGAAGAAAAGAAAAACAGAGAGAGAGAGAGAGAGTTAGGAGATAAGACGGTGCAAGAAGTGTCTCAGAGGCCAGAGGAGGAGAGGAATAGTCAGGCGGGAGTGAGGGGATGAAACAGGGTAAGTAGCTTAGTTTCGGATTGAATTAT